ATATGTTGAGGTTGTGTGTGAGCCACCTTAGTGGCTTCATCATTGTCCTTATTCACTGAGTTTCTTCCTCTTGTACTTCAGGGCCTCTCGCCAGCTCCTTCAGTCTCCGGTGCAGACACCAGCTTTTGCATTTAAACCTTGGGGAATGCTTGCTGTCCTCGGTCAGATTTATGCAAGGAAGGTTGGGGATTTGGTTATTAATTGAAGCCTGGATGGGTAGTGTCGTTTTGGACAAAGCCCCTTAATCTTTGGCCTGTTTGTGGAAGTAAATGATGCAGAAACCGCAGCAACTGTACCAAATTATTCTACTGCAGATTTCGGCCTGGCATCTCTCAGCATCAGGGGAGCAGAGTGGGATTGCTGCTGTGAGACAGGGAGAGTGGATGAGTTTCATAGCAGAGATGCAGCTGGGGAAAAACAGCTGGAATAGAGCACCGGAAACATGAATTGAGAAGTGGTCCAGAAGCAAAAAGGAGAAACAACAGAAGTCATTCATGAGAAGGAAATGGGCACTGGAGTGGATTAAAAGCAGAATGTTGTTACACACACTGACACCAGAATAGAGGAGGAGTAAGATAAACAGGAGGAGCTGATCACCAAAACAACGCAGAAAAAGCCGTCCCTGTGTTAGCAGCCCTGCAGTGAGTCCAGAGGGAAGGAGGGGACAAGGGATGGACCGTTCCCGATGGAGCCATGCTGGCTTTGCCACAACGGGGGTGTGTGCAGGGTTCCCTTGGCTGGGAATCATCTCCCTTCCTGCCATGGGGACCCCTGAGCGTGGCATCACCCTCCCTGGCCAGAGCTGTGCCAGCCAGGGGATGTTCTGGGACCATGCATGGTGTTGTCAAACCGTGCTCATCTGTGGACCTCTGAGCAGGCAACAGAAATAATTTAAAGAGCTGATGAGACATTTTTATTATTCCCATGAAATGATATGGAATTATAGTTTTAAATGGAGGGGACAGGTTTAAAACGTATATTTTAGAGCCAAATTAATGCTGTGCTTGCTGGAAGGTTGGCCTGTCAGGGGGTCACCTCCTGCTGTGCGTGGGGTTTAGGACATGGAGGGTGGGATCTGTTTGTATGGAGCGGCTGCTGTTCCCGGCTGGCATTGGCAGCAGCATCGCTGGTGCTCAGCTGTGTGTATGGCAGCTGTGGCTGGTGCTGCCACGTCTGGTGCAGCCCGTTTGGAGGAGAGATGGGCACACACAGGGCAGACTCTATCCAGAGCATGAATACCTGCTCCTAAACAGATTTAAAGAGGTTAATTGGGTTGGGATGTGCATGGTTGAGGTACACTTCTAATGGGAACGTTGAATCAAGAAGCAACGGCTCTAGTGATTCTTGTGCTACTGTAATTAGTTTTAAACTTTCTTTTTGGCACTGTTGGAAGCAGCTTGGCACCGTGCCTGCGTGACCTGATTAAACTTACAAATTGTCAGCCTTGATCTATAGGATGCGGAAAAGGTTGCTGACGGAGCATCGCTTCGGAAATTCTCCACTTAAAACAAAAATGAGATCTAAAATATTCCCAACAATACAATGCAGAAGTGCTGTTGATTTTACACACACACTCAGTATCCCAGTGTCGCGATAGCAGCCATATCCCCACGTGCTGCATGGCAAGGAGGAGTTTCAATCCTTCTTTATCCTCACTTTTGAGCAGCCACCAGAACCTCTACACCCTGTTCCCACTGCGGCCATTCGCGAGGCGATGGTCCCAGTTCTGTCTCCACCATTTCCCTCCTCCAGTGTGGAATTTCAGCTCCATGTGTGTGGAGCTGGAGTCCACGGGCATGCATGAAGTGTCTGCATCCATGGGATTTGTGCTTATGGGATCTACAGCATCTCCCTGTTTATTGCCTGAAGTCTCCTGTAGTTGAGGAGCAAGTGACAGTTTTTTCCCCAGGCATTTTGGACCTCATAGGAGGGATGGAGTCCAGTGGTACAAGTCTCCATAAGGCTAACGTGGTGCTTAGATCCATTTGAAAGGAAATGAGAAGCAAATCAATTGCTTCCAAATAAATAATGCACATACTTTTACCACACTTGCATCAAACCGATATAATGTATAGGATAATGAGCGTGCATGAATGAATGTGCATAGATGTAGATGTCTTGGAAAAGAAATGGAAGATGTACGTCTCTGTCCTCATGTGAATACTCTCTGTACTCATGTGAACACTCCTTTATTCTTACAGTGAAGCATTTAAAACTCATGCAGGGTCCTTTAAAAGCTGCAGGAAGATGTTCCTGCTCTGTGTTAGAACCAAGTGTCCTATGACGCTGCCATCACCCCATGGCAACTGCCTGGGCAGTCCCGATGCAGGGTGACCATCTGGGTACACCACAGGGATGGAGGCAGGGCCGTGTCAGGGCTGGTCCCCATGGCCCTATGGGGCAGGAGGGCTCCTCTCAGGCGTGCAGCGAGCGGGCAGCGGCCGGGCAGATGTGAGAAATACTGACTGTGTTTTCTCTTGTTCTCTCTTTTCTGCCCAAGGTTTGAGCATCCGAGGAGCCCAGGAGGAAGACCCTCCCGATCCCCAGCTAATGAGACTAGACAATATGCTTCTGGCAGAAGGAGTCTCAGGTCCGGAGAAAGGTGGGGGATCGGCGGCAGCAGCTGCAGCCGCAGCAGCCTCTGGAGGGTCTTCAGATAACTCTATTGAACACTCAGATTACAGAGCCAAATTGACCCAGATCAGACAAATCTATCACACAGAGCTGGAGAAATATGAACAGGTCAGACATCAGCCTCTCAGTTGTACATGTACCTGCCGCTGCTCTCCTCCACACCTCTGCTTGCGAGCACCCGCCGCTGCCCCGCTCCACACCACATCCCTGTTCCCTTTCCCTATCCCTTTCCCCCCTAAAGAGCCATGCTCAGAGTCCACTGGGCTTTGAGGAGCCTCTCACTGGACCAGGATGCATGTCTTGCATGTCTGAGTGTTTTCTGTTGTCTGTAACTGCATAAAGCAACACCCAAGCCCGTGTTTCTCCCCTTTGAGAGGGAGAGAGGAGGAGAGTGTCTGTCACTCGGTGCTGCTTCTGTGCCTCGTGATGAAGTGTTGCAAGGCTGGGGAGTGCAGGAGGGAGGGCGAGGGGCAGTGCTGGTGATCTCAGCCCATGGGCTCCTAAGCAGATTGCAGGGGAGCGGGCAGTGAGGTGCTGGCACAGTGCTCGGCCCAGTCTTTGGGAGGTGCTGCTATAGATAGGGAACAGGGAGGTCCAGTTCAGGTGGACACCGGCACTTGGTGTCTTTGTTTGGAGTGAAGAGTGCTGCAGAGACTCATGGGCATACATTCACTGCTGGCACCTGGTGACCTGCCACATTTGCCACGCTGGTGGTACCAGGAATGTTTGCCATGTGCTGCTGGATGCAGTGTGGCTCCTGCCCATAGGATGCAGGCTGCACTGTGCCAGTTTCCCTGTAATCCATGGGAGAGAGTGTTCTGCCTCTGCTCTTTTCTGGTTTTGCAATGAACAGCAGCATTAAAGGAGACGGGAGGGAAGAAAGACACGGGACCCCTGGCCCTTGCAAGCCTCAACCGATGTCTTCATTTTCCCTTCCCAGAGGTGTCTTAATAAAGCTTGTAAACCCTGAGCCTAATCTGCTCAGCGAACCTCATCAGATGGTGGTTTCCTGAGCTAAGCCGGGGGATGTCCTGTGCTTGCCCCCAGCCCTTCACAGCGAAGTGTTGGGCTGTGCAGACCAAAACCACAGAAGAGAGACAGAGACAGTGATAAAACCACTTGAAAACACAAGGGTGAGGAGAGGAGTGCACCGAGATGCCCGGCTCCTTCCCAGCCCTGTGCTCTGCCTCTGCATCCTTCCCCTTCTGCATCCCCAGCGGGTAGCGGGGCCTGGCTGCCTCAGTAACTCCTTATTTTAGAGTTTCCCTTTTTTCTGGTGATTACCCTCTGGAAGGTCCCTGGCTACTTTGCTTAGGTTTTTTATACCACCAGAAACAAAGGCATGGTGGGTGCCAGGCCATACTGACACAGCTGAGTGGTGCTCACCGAGCATACGCAGTGGATGGAAGTGATGGGGTGCTGGGGAGTGGATATGGGGCACTGGTGGAGTGTGGAGGATTGAGGCGATGGCACCCACTGGTACAGTCCATGCAGCATCCTGCTGTGGATGCTGACAGGATTGTGGCTTGAGTGGCATAGGGCTGGCATGGGGCTGACGTGGTTTGGGTGATGGTGGCACAGTGTAGTTTGGGTGATGGTGACGTGCCATGGTTCAGGGGCTCGTGGTGTGGTGTGATCCAGGTGCCGGGGCACTGCCTTATCCATGCTGCCTCTTTCACAGTGTTGTTCAAGTAGTGAACAAATAACAGCAAATACAGACAGGGTCTTTGTGCAAATCTCCTTTTCTCCCTCACACAAATCCCCCATCCCGCACCTTCCAAGGAGCCTGAATATCCTGCATGGCCCCTTGGGAGTTGTGCTGCAGGGCCCCAGTGTGCAGCCCGTAGCGCTGGGATGGGGATTAATGAGCACCATCCAGCAGGAGCGTGTCTTATAAAGCCACAGGGACACGGGCTTCAGGTAGATCTGGGGCCAAAGCAACTGCAGGTTGGTGCTTGCAGCTGTTTCCTGGCAAGTGTCCTTTGCCTCTAATAAGTTTAATGATGTGGGGGAAGCAGGAGCATTTTTAGCCCTGTAGCTCCATTTACAAAGGTTTCAGTTGAAATGTCACAGCCATCCGTCCACACCACGGGAAACTTTGGAGGATGCTCAAGTGCTGCTGCTAAGAAGGAGGGAGAAGTGGAGCTGATAAGAAACATGTACAATTCCCTGTTGATCCTGACACCCAGCCACATCTGCTCTACAGAAACATGATCATTTCCCTGGCGTGGCAGCAAACTGTCTCCTGCCGGTTTGTCTTAACACAGCCAAGAGGCAGCCAGGACTTTGCATATTTGCCTCCAGAGATGGCAGGTTCTGGAGAGGTGGGTGCCCTCCTGCAGCTCAGCCCCACGCAGGGACACCTGCCTTGTGCTGGAGCAGCTCCTGCCACCTCTCCTGTGGTCCCACTGCAGCAGGAACCAGAGCAGCTTCCTGGAGATGCTTTGCCGTGGAGTTTGATCCTGATATTTGTTGCCAGTTAAGGGAATGCACTCAGGGTGAAAAAAAGAGAGCAAGAGAAATGGAAAGTGTGTCACGCCATCACACAGCTCTCCCCTCGCCGTGCGCCGCGAGAAATGGCCGTACACAGGCAGCTCCTTCCATAATTTACAGCTGCTATAATAGAGATGACATATTGAAAGCTATCTTCTATAATTACACTGAAATACATTTTTTGCTGTAGGCAAAAGTACTGGAAGGGTCCCAGGTCTCCCGGAGCAGCTGGGAACCTGCTTCTTGAGTTCACAAATGTCTTCTGAATTCACCCCAAATTGGGGTGAAGTGTGGCTGCTCAGAAGCCACCACCAGCCCCACAGAGACTGTTTTGGGCCATTTCCTCTCTTTTTCATGCACTTGTCTGAGGAGTCTTGATGAAGCATTAAGGCTTAGCAGGAGCATCCCCGCTCCTAGAAGGTTTCTGAGCAGGTTAACAAGGCCATCACTTATAACCTGACATTATTAATAATGTCTCGGGCGCCAAGCAGAGGTCTGAAAAATAGAACTGAAAAAGGGATCAAGTAGCTCGGACGCTATAAATAAACAAGAGAAAACAAGACAAAGCATCAGAGTCTTCTGAGCTTGCTTCCACTCTGCTGCACTGAAGTGACTGCAGATGGGAGTGGGAGGTGCTGGTGAAGATACCTTAAACCCAGGCTCTCTAAGTAGCTGTAACCAAGGGAAGTCTCATCAAGCAATTCAAGTAAATTCAGGGAAAGATTTTTGCTTCTTGAAGGCAAGAAACTAATTTTAGCTTTGAAGCATCTAATTTTGGGTACTATATTCATGGGAAAATATTTCTTCTAGAAAAGACGTATCTGAAAGTATTTTTAATACAACAGTTGCCGTTTTTATTGTACTTTAAAAATGAACTCCCTGGATCTTCAAATAAGGGGCCACGTGGCAAGCTGTGTGCCTGAGATGTTCTTTGGATTCAGGTGTATTTTTGGGATGGTCAGATCTGCTCTCCTATCTCAGTGAGGGAGTTGCTGTGTTTCTGTGCCTACATCACCTTACCTCTGTGCATCATTTACCAGTGGGCCAGAGCTGGTGCTTTGGCTACTGGTCAGATGGCTGAACCCAAGCTTTTGCGTGTTAAGGTTGTCCAGGCATCTTGGTAGATGACATGCAGGAAGGATGCGGTCCCAGTGCCACGATGCCAGCAGGAGCAGGCACTGGTACCCAGCTGCTCCAGTGGTGGCTGGTCACCTCTGTGAGCTTTGCTGCCCGGGGTGTCCAAATGGAAAGAGAGAAAATATGCAGATAGGAAGCAGGGATGAAATGTGTCGAACTCCTTAACCTGGAGCTCAGAACGGCTTGGGGAAGTTGTGGAGCAGTGATTGATGTGGAGGGGTGATGAGCTGGCAAAGGGTGCCTGCACCAAGGCTCACCGAGCCTCACCAGAGCGCTGCCTCCAAACGGGTGCTGCAAGGATGTAAATTAGCCTGTAATTTACTTTCAGTAGTGTAAAGAAAAAAAACCACTTTGCCTGAAGTGTATGCATCTTTCTTAAGGGTGTACCCAGATTTTAATTATCTAAATGTAAATACTTAACGAATTTTACTTAGAGTAATGAGCTAAAGTGCACACTACATAAATGAGATGTTCTAATTAATCATGTATGAACTACTGGTTTAAAGAAAAGCTATGTGAATTCTGCGAATGTTGGGCTATTGCCAAATTGCTAATCAGCATTTGCATTCATAGATGGCTTCACTTAATAAGTTGCGAGACGTTCAGCAAATGTTATAGGAAATTATGAGTTTTTAGATGCATAAACTTTTCACTTTTAACTCTTTCCCTCACACCATCTATTGAAACACAGGAGAATCCCCCAAAATGGAGTTGTCAGACAAATTATGCAGATGTTTTTCACCCTGGCTGTAGAGAGAAAAGGGGAACTAGAGTCAAACAGATATTTAATGTATGGGGCCTGGGTGAGATTCTTCTTCCATGTGATGTACTGGTTGCTGAGCATCATACTCATCGCCCTTTGCATTAGATGCATGAGAGTGAAATCATGTGGCTTTGGACATGACCGCAGCCCAGTGCTGTGTTAGGATGGCTGGTCCTTGCACAGCCAGTGCACAGCCTTGCACACATCCACCTTCATCTGATGAGGGTCCTGGGAGTCCAGAGCAGTTTGCCTTGGCTGCCGGCAGACCCCAGCCCCTCTCCTCTTTGTGATAGGGGTAGGTTTGTGCCCAAAACGTGTTCTAGTACCAGGCCAGCCCCAGGAAGGGATGAGCCCCATGACCACGACACAGCTCTGCCCAGCAGACAGCAGCCCTGCGGTTGGTTTTGAGAACCATAAGCGAGACATAAATCAGCAGAGTTGGTGGCAGCTCCCAGCCTGCGTGGGGGAAGCCGGGATGCCAGCGTGGCAGCCGTGTGGCCATGGGGAGGCTTGGATCCAGGGGTGTCTGTTGATGATGCAGCTTGGACAAGTTTATATCATTGTGTCCATTCACCTGTGTAGTCTGGGACTGATAATTGATAGCTCCTCCTTGTGCTTTCCCTCCTTCAGTGCCTCCTTCAGGCTCAGGCACGGCTTTGCTGAACCCCACCTCTAAGGGGACACACATGGAATGATCCTCACTGGCTGTGGGATGTTAACCCTGCCTGTTCCCTGCCTGGGCTCAGTGGGTTACAGCCCTTCCCAGGTTTTGCTCACTTGGCTGCTCAGTGTGTGCTGGTCCCCACTCACATCCTCCTCCTGCCGCAGTCATTGCACGCATGGATCCCAACCTCTCCTCTCCACCATCCCAACCTCTCCTCTCCTCTCCCCATGTCTGGGAACATGGGGATATTGAAAGGAAAAAGCATGGAAAGAGCTGTGCTGTCGTTTCTCAGCTCCCCTGGCTGCTGCAGGACAGTCCTGGGTATCATTAACAGTGTGTGTGAGCTGCTCCTCTAGCTGTGCACAGGCAGAGGGGACAGGGCTACATGAGGGTCCCCCAACCCCTTCCCCATCACTGCCTTCCCCCCAACAGCCAGGTCTGAGTTTGTGTCCTTGTGGGATGGCACAGAACAATTTCTAAACCTCTCCTTCCTTTGCAGGCATGTAATGAATTTACCACACATGTGATGAACCTTCTCAGAGAACAGAGCCGGACACGTCCCATTTCTCCCAAGGAGATTGAAAGGATGGTGGGCATCATTCATCGAAAATTCAGCTCCATCCAGATGCAACTCAAACAAAGTACTTGTGAAGCAGTAATGATTTTAAGATCAAGGTTCCTCGATGCCAGGTAAGGCAGAAGCGAGTGCCTCTGGCTCTTTCTGGGGGGCAGTTGTGTCCCCTCATGGGCAGGGACCTGCTGGAAAAGGCTGCTCTGGCCCAGCAAACACTCAGGGCCCTTGTCCTTCACCCAGCAGCTGCAGTGAGAGGGAGGGTTTCTGCACAGGGCTTTCATAACCAGCAGTGTCTTTTCTACATATTGTAGTGCAAAGACTGGGCTTGTTTACCCGATGCTTGTTTGCCCTGCTCATCTGGGGGTCACATCAGATTTGAGCACAGGGCTCTTTTGTCACCCCAGCAGTTCTTTCCCTGGCTGCCGGTGCCGCTGTCTGGCAGCATAAGGCCAGCCTTGCAAAACACTGACCCCATAATGGAAGAGCCAAGTTCTCTGGGAGGGATGTGCCCATGAGCTGTGGCTGATGCTGGGTCAGCAGCTGCACACGCCTGAGGTAAGAGGGACAATGATGCTTCCGAAAGCCAGATCTGCTGGCCCAGCTCCCAACAAGCTGTTGCCTGACTGGGGCACCGGAGAAGGCAGCACCCTTGGACACCCTGTGCTGCTACACAGCACACCAGCCTCCAAAACAGGCTGCGAGGAAGCAGGCAGAAGGGGATTAGGAGGGGATCTATGGGCACAGAAGCATTGATTTGGAAGCCCTGATGAGGTGGGATACGGATCCCCATCCCCATGCCTTCCATAGGGCTTCCCTGGCAGCTGGCAGAGCCCGGCAGAGCAGGCGCTGAGCCCGGTGGAGCAGGGAGGAGCAGCAGGCACCATGCAGAGCCGCCCTTCAGCAGCTCGCTCCTGCTTCACACCTGAAAGCTGCAAGGAGCTAAACAAGAGCAAAATAATTTTATTAACAAGGAGGTCACTGGCAGGTGTGGCAAATTAGGGTAATTACAAACAGTTGGAGGAAACGTCTATGGAGAGCTCCAGTAACTGCGAAAGGTAAAGCTTGCAGATGCACATTTTAAAGTGATTTCTTTAAAAAGGAGGAAGGTAAATAAGGCAAAATGAGCGGAAGCACAGTAATGAGATAAACATAGCTCTAGGGAGAGAGTCTGCCTGCTCCAGGATACAGTGTAGTTAGCAGCATCGTGATCCTGCTGGAAGAGAGCGCTGGGGATTGCGCTCGGCTGCCTGCTGGCCTCCGGCGCAGGCAGTTTGATTGCAACCAGCCCTGAGGGGAAGGGAGCTCTGAAGGAAATGTTTAACCAGTGATTTCGAGGGGGTGTTCTGGGGAGAAGGAGAGCAGCCGATGTCGGCTCGGAGGGAAAACACCGCAGCTGCACCGATGCCACTATGGTACCCTGGTTGGTGAAGGTGCAGCATCGGCTGCCTGCATGCCAAGGGATGTGCTGTGCCCCTCATTACCTGTCCTTGGCAGCGTCATGAGAGCTTGGGCCCTGCTCAGCCCTCGGCAGGAGGGTGCACAGATGGGTCTCCCTCACAAAGCCCTGAAAGCCACTTGTTCACAGAAGCCAATTAGCTCAGTGAATGCTACATGAGGACACGGTGGCAGTGAGGCCACCCAGTCCTTTTCCACTGTGCTCACCCAGAATCCCCAGCTGACCTGCTGCTAATGGGAAGAGGTTCTGTAGGCTGCTGTCAGCATGGAGCTTAACAGTGGAGGTTCAGGTGGGGCTGTGGAGGTGCTGCAGGTGGGCAGCCCAGCTCAGCACCCTGCCTCGCCTCTTGCTTCATCGTGTTTCCTGCCACAGCACTCAAATGTGGGGTGGAGCCCACATGGAGCTGAATGGCATGAACCAGAAGCAGCGTCCAGACCCTTGAAGGGCTGGCCCAAAGGGATTGAGGGTACTGTGGCAGTGCTGTTGTGTTGCTGTGTGCTGCGGCATGGGCATGTGAAGGGCGCTTCCACTCAGCTGACCCTGCCAGAGACCTGCTTGTGTCTGGAAGAACAGCCATGGTTTGCTTTTCTCATTTCAGAAGGAAAAGGCGTAACTTCAGTAAACAAGCCACGGAAATCTTGAATGAGTATTTCTACTCCCACCTCAGTAACCCCTACCCCAGTGAAGAAGCCAAAGAAGAGCTGGCAAAGAAATGCAGCATCACGGTATCGCAGGTAAGCAAGTCCCAGCCCCTGTGCTCTGCATCCCAGGCAGTGCTTTGACCTCCTGGCTCCTCTTGCAAAGCTGCCGCCCCCCCCTCCAGGCTTTGGGATGTGCTTCCAGCAGAGGTGTGCCATATGAAGCAGGTCCCTCCCTGATGCACTGTTGTAATCCCTTAAAATTTGTGCTGTTGACCATGATAAAGTTCAGCTGGGTGGTGGAATGTGACTGAGCTCTGCAGGAAAGGCAGCGTGCCTGCAGGTGGCTGGGGTTGTGCTGGGGTACAAAGATAGAATTGAAAGGGCAGTAAGGTTAGCACCCTACTTTAGGTCAGCTGTCTCTGCACAGTCAGAAAGATTCTTGCTGAGCCTTATTGTCTGTTATGAATTCATTACAACTTCCCATTATTTCAGGGGAAGGCCAGTTTATTGACAAACATATAATCTATCTCTATAGATCAGAATTTCTTTGATTGCTGAAAGTCAGGCAGAATTTCAGCCTCTCAGTACACTGAAGTGACACCAGTGGTTTCTCTAGCAAAAATGTATTGGGCGGATTTCCTCCTTTTATCACATACAACAGATGTTACTGTGAAGTTAATGTGAGAAAACCAGTGTCTCCCTAATCGGAATGTGCACTGTCGTTGGCTACAGCTGCCAAAGTACCTTTGCAGCTCTGGACTGGGGTCTTGCAGTGATGTTCAGGCCCATGACAGTGCTCCACTGAGCTTTCATTCACTTTCAGTCACCAGATAGTTTGAAAAACAGAACAGCATTTTGGTTTTTTTGTGGCCTATACATTTGATAGAAACCCATAGCAAATCCAGCTCATACAGGAAGGGTTGCACTTGGGTAGCAGAGAAAGATCACCAGTTCTCACAAGTTCTCCCAGCACCCCATTGCCCATTGCTAGGGCTGGAGTGCCATCTCCTCCCAGCTCCATCAGCTCCACTTATCAATATTTCAGGTCCTTTAGAGGAACAATGCCTGCGGCAAATGTGTTAACTATTAATGGCTGCAGGCTGCAGTATTGGCATTATTAGCAATGCAACCTTTAGCTTTATAATTAAGACCTGCATGAAAAATTCAGGCATTTTATTGAAGACTTCTGAGTGAAAGGCTGCCCAGCCCCCTGAAATTTGATGTAACTTATTTGACTTTGGATGCACCCTCAGTACAAACCCTGGCAAAACTACCCTCTGACATGAGGGCCCAGCAACACGTGTGCCTCACTCTCTACTTGCTCATTGCTTGGTATGCAGCATGTACCATGCTCCAGGTAGGGTGGAAGCCCCTGTGCCAGTGCCAGCTGAAGGTAAGGGATAGAGATCACTTCTCCCAGTCCATTTACAAGTGGCTGTGGTGATGAGCAGGATATTTTAGGATGAAATTCAGCACCAAACTCATTCCCAGCTGCTGTGGATGCCTGGGACCAGCCAAACAGCCCAAGAGCACACACAGGTTCCTGGCACCTTTATCTGCAGCCCTACATCATGTTGCTGGTTCCAGTCCTCTTGGCATGAGATGGTTTATAGCAGTTCCTCCAGTAAGTGGTGTCCAAAAATTTCACCCAGCAGACGGTGAATTGTGGCTGGCAGAGAAGGAGTTAGTGATGCCACAGAGTGGACAGATAAAAAGCTAGATCTAGATAAGGCTGAAGTGACTGAAGGAAATGAGATGGAACATTTGAGAAGCCATAACTGATTGCTTCTAGCACTAATAGATCTGATTTCTTTCTTAATTGGTTGTTTGATAAGATTTAATGTATATGTTGTAAATGAAATAAAAGGCAGGCAGATGGTCCAAAAATGTAGCAGTAGCAGTAAGCCTGTGACATGAATATAGGTTTGTCTCTTTAATATTTGATATAAGCATGAATTAGTTGTTTCTTGAATCCATTAGGAAGTCTGTGTGAGCAGTGGGAGTAGCTGCATTGTGTCCCCTGTAGCATCCCAGGCTTTTCAGGGTGATATTTTCCAGGCTGGAGCACGGGCAGCACTGGGCACAGAGTCTGGGCTCTATCTGCCAGAGGTGCAGGTCTAGGGCCATGGCTGGTGCTTTGCTCTGCAAGGTACTATAAAAGGCTGGGAAAACCTCTGGGTGATGGGAAAGCCTGAACACGGGGCAATACATCATCTGATGGGAGAGGAGCATGTATGTGAGAGAGGGAGTGCCTGTGATCAGCTGGTTGCTTAAGTTCCTGATAGATCTGCTGTCACAGCTAGAAAATGTGAACACTGTGGATATCCTAATCTTTGATTTTCAAAGGCATTTCCAAAGGCTGCACAGTGGGACTGCAGGGTTGGTATTTACGAGGTCAAACTGGGCTGGAGTTGTCTTTCTTTGTACTGAAAAATGTATGTATTTTTTGAGGCCATGTAGCAGAAAAGCTCTGAGCAAGCACTGTAAAATAGCGCAGTGCACACTGCTGTAGTGGTTGGCAGCAGAAGTCAGAGGATGCAATCCAGAAATCAGGGGTGAATTGAGCAGTCTTTTCAAATACTGGCAGGAGTAGCATCGCATGGGATAAGCAATGGCATCCAAGCGAGTGACTGAGCTACACCTCACCCTGGGCTTCCAGGAAAATTCCCTGAGCACACGTATTTCCAGGCTTGACCAGGAGTCCTTCAGCTATCCCCTGCTTACCTCCCATGCTACAAATGCCCTGGAGGTACAAAAAGAGCTGGAAAATGGGAGGGGGGGAAAACCCCATAAAGTTAACAGATGGTTTTCCAAGCTCCTGGAGGTTAGAGCTGGTGTTTGATGAAGGGGCTTTGTCCTTCTCCTGGCTGAGCCAGGCTTCCCTGGTAGCCTCTCCTAGCGATGATCCAAGGTGTTTCTTCCTTCTACTGTCAGTGCCTTGTAAATGCTGGGGGCAGATTCATGGCAGAACATTTTCTCCGTCTAACACTTAATTAGTGAGGTTTTGGGTTGTCCTCCCCCCAGATGAAGCAGCTCACTGGAAATCTTGCTGCCATAGCACTTTACCGAGCTGCGAAGAAAATTGTCTCCTAGAATCATTTTGTTGCAGATGGGAGATAGATGGTTTCAGTTTTGATATCGGTGTTTAAAATAATATGTAGAGAAGGTTTTTCAAGAAAAACATAAAGACAAACTATTTGTTAGGATGAGCACCTCGCACAATTGCATTTTTAAGAGTATAGAAAAGGTAATTCTAGGAGAAAAAAAAATGTCCTTACTGGAGAACATCGTCGGCTGTAATTTAGAGCTACCCGATCAGCACGTGTTGGAGGGAGATAAACTGTATCATCTGTTCTCCCCTTACCATGGCTGCAAGGCTGATGTTTTATACTTTTGCAGATGAGCCTCTTTCAGGGTGTCATGAACAACTATCAGTCTATCATATGGGCTATAGAGAGGGCATAGTCGTTGCTGAAAGCATGTCAGTGGATTACAGCAATAAAATTTTTCACTGCTTCAAACAAAAGAAGGATGTGGTTGACAAGGGAATATATTTACTGCTCTTTTAAATAAAGAATGCAGGAGCTGGTTTTCAACACCCCTCCTGCCCCTGCTACTTCGGAGTCTGGGTCTGTTTCTGTAAGCAGCCCGAAAGGGAGAGCTGTGGATATATAGGCTCTTAGCCCTTGACTTCATATGGGAAGCAAAGTTAAAAGAGATGTAAGTTTACTTAAATAGTTTCTAGAGGTAAAATTCTTGGGTTTAGCTCATGAACCATGATAGTGGCACATGGGTTTTCAAAATCTTCTATTTTGTGCCATTTGATTACGTGTGGAACAGAAACTGTGCTACAGATGCTTGGAAACACAATGGAAAAATGTCCATGTGATCCATGAATGTGTAATCCACTAATTTCAGCAGTGATGCTCTCATGTCAGCTGCATCTTCTGCAGAACGAGCACTGATTTATCCCATGAAAGCAGACACAAGGCAGGCCTGCCCCATCCCAAATCCCACATTAGGCATCTTGATGATTTCAGTAATAATTTATTGTCTTTTTATTTAACATTGCAATTAACATGATAAATAAGAGCAACAGTATTGTTTGAAATGTAATATACAATTAAGCCAATTAATTAATTGGCCTTCAATGATCAGGAGGAGAAAGATGTTGGTTGTTTTTTTCATGTGAAGAGATAGTTTGTTTTAATGAAAAATGTGTTGTGAAGCAGCTTGCAATGGAGACAACTTTCATTTTTAGGGTAAGCACAGGCTGGGTGAGGAGCCAGGGAGGCTCTTCCCAGTCCTGATGCTGCCTGGGAGCAGCCCAGCACCAGCATCCCGGTCCTGGTTAAGGTGAGGTGTGCTCTGGGCAGGCAGGGGAAGCTGCAAGCAGCCAGCACAGCCCCACAGGAAGAATTCCACAGTGGCAAATCCAGCCTAAATCCTGCTCAGCACTGCTTGAGCAGTGACCTGCTCCCATCCTGGACACATCCAGCTGCCCATGTCGGCCATGCACGCCTGGCTGCTGCCAGAGCCCTGCACATCCCCGGGCCATGGCACGCTCTGCTGCAGCCTCTCACTGATGTGAGCAAAGTGTCCTTTGGCCGGGGGGGTGAAGGGACCCGGGATGTGACTGCAGAACCCTGGAGGGTGCTGTGGTTCCCGGGATGCTGTGCTCTGCCCCTGCACAGGGTGCACGCTTTGGTCTCACAAATAGTTTAACATTTGTGGGTATTCATTTAGATGTGGTGTGCGGGTTAAACATAACGTACGATCGGTGCTCCTCTCATTGCTTCCAATTAAACCTTGCTTGTTAGTTTAACCTCTAGGTAATCCCATCAAACAATTGATGTCAAGGAAACACTGCCCACAGTGGCTCTGGATGAGTGGCCATTAATTTTAATTGCCTTGATATTAAAGATTAAGAAGTATTGGGACTAGCAGAATGGAAACGATCTGATGTCAAGCAAATCCACTCATTGAGGCTTCCCCAGGCTGCTGGTGATATTAAAATTTTACTGTGAGAATTAAATAAACCTTTATTAGTGATGGCTGTTGTTTGATTGGTCCAGGGGCGTGCATAAACAGAAGGGTCTGCACACATCCATGGACAATACAGTTGATGCACAGAGATTCCTCAATTATGAAACTGTTAATAAAGCATAATCTGATTGTCCACAATAATTATTTGCTAGGTTTCATTAATGTATTATTGCTTCTTTGACTGACAAGGTAATATTAAGTGCAATATATAGAATTCGGTGGAGTGTTACCTAGGGAATAGAATGTATAAGGTACCTTGCGTATTACTGTTAAAAGCTAGAGGCTTTTCATTAATTGTGTTTAAACAAAAGCTGTGCTACATAAAATACAGCAGGATTTGTATCCTGCCTGCAGCGGGGTGCCTCGCCAGGCACTGTGGTGGAGCATGGGATGGGAGAGGTGCTGCAGAGCTGCCATGGCTCCTGGGGGAGCACAGGACCCCAACCCTGGCCTCACACCGCGCCCAGGGGCTGGTGATTACCACTTGTGTTATTGCTGGTCCCCTTCCCTTTACCTCTGTGTTGTTGCAGATGCTTTCTTGTCTCATTAGCCATGCCTGTCATCCATGTTATAAACTGGGTTTGCTATTTAGGAGCTCTGTTACAGCAGCTGAAGCTAAACAAAGGCAGTGAGAGAGATTGTACCAACTTTTCTGAGAGGCTCCAGCCGTGACCTCTGAGTGGGTGAATAGCTGGTGCCCCGTGAGCCATCTTGGCTTCAGTACAGTATCTTCAAAGGGAGATGACAAAGTGGCTTTTCAGCCATTATTGATTTATATGATTCCTTTCATTTTCAGCTGACCGAACACGGTTCTGTGAGTGGGCTGCCAAGGTTGTTCCAGCCCAAAAATAAAGAACAATTGCTCTCACTACCTGCTCACCCTCACTCAACCGGACCTTGGTCCCCCTTGAGCAGTTTTTGGGGTCTTGCACTGTTTTTGTTGACAAATGGCTCATAGTAGCAGGAGACAATGCTGCACTAAATGCTACAGCAAGCTCCAGGATATGTGTCATCATCAAAGAGTCACCCCTCATGCATCAGTTTGCCAACAGAGAAGCAGAGCCAGATCACACTCATATCCATAGTAATATTAAACTGCTCCTTGGTTACTGCTTACTTAACCAGAGTACTCAGCAGATACGGTTTGGGGGCTGGGACATGTGTACTTGCTAGACCAAACCTGACATCTCAAAGGGATCAAGCTTTGCCAGGTCAAGCACTTTGTGTCCTTCACCCTTCCCATTTCTCTCCAATGCAGGTGTCCAACTGGTTTGGCAATAAGAGAATCAGGTACAAGAAGAACATCGGGAAGTTCCAGGAAGAAGCCAATCTCTACGCGGCAAAGACGGCTGTGACCGCAGCACACGCCGTGGCCGCCGCGGTCCAGAACAACCAGACAAACTCCCCCACCACACCAAACTCTGGTACGTACCCGGCTTGTGCATTAAAGCATCCTGAAGGGCAGTCCCTAAAGGATGGTGCCCCAGGGAGTGTGGTCGGGCTGCAGCTCCTTAGCAGACCTACTTGTGGTACCAAGCCCATGGATCTCCAGGCTGGACCATTACAAGGGCTGAATGCTGCTGTAGGTGGTCTCAGTGGCTTTAGTGGTGAAGCTCCTGCAGCCTCACAAGGGAGCAGAGCAGGGCCCACATAATTCCTGCAATGGTAATGTCTGCTTGGCTCAGGCTTCTGGCAGCTTCTTTGTTTCTATAGATATTTTAAGCTTTTTCTCATTCAATGAAAGTAATATCAAATGAGGCAGAGCTCCAAAGTCTGATTTTGTAAGAACCATTAAATTTATTGTCAAGATAAGAACAAAACAGAGGAATATTTTAGCGTGCATTAATTAGAATTAAAACTCCAGGTTGCCTGAAATGGAGTTGATATTTTATATATATAGAAATCGAACAATGCAGCTTTTATTTTGGAGTTGCTCCACCACATGTTCTTCTGCAGTGTTTAAAAATTGCCTCGCTGGTGTGTTGCTGACATTGTGCAAATCTAAGCTTTAAATTAGGAGGGGGAACGTGTAAAGAGGAAGTCACTTTTTTTGGGCTCCAGAGGCAGAGGTTTCCACGCAACACAGATGTGTTTGACACTATTTACAGTGAACTTTTCCTGCGACTCAGTTGCAGACAACTTCTAAAGAGTATAAAGATCCATGGGGAAAAAAAAACCCTTTTAAACGAAAGTAAGGAAAAGGTTCCTCCTGTGATGGTAATAAATCGGCTAATTAGAGCTTGCCATTTCCTTGTGAAGGAGACATGAAGCACAGACCCAAAAGGAGTTTTTCTCCGAGTGTTTGGTGATAGCGTCTCACGATGGAGCAATCCACTGGAGGAAAGCTCTCAACATGAAAACCTGTTGTTGTACAGGCTGCTCTTCCAGAGGGAAAAGCTGACCTGGGTTGCACGGGGCCTCCAGCTTACCCAGCTCCCGGGTGGCAGCCGGTGCTCGCCCTGCACCGGGGCCAGCAGCTTTCCCTCTGCTGTGCGCTGCCTTTCCTTCTCCTCTCCTGTCTTCTTCTCCTTCCCCTGCCCTCAGGTCTCTGGGGTTATATATTTGCAGCTCTCTGTTATTCAGCTACCTAACTCTTTCCTTTCCAGGTTCTTCTGGTTCTTTTAACCTCCCAAATTCTGGGGACATGTTCATGAACATGCAGAGTCTGAATGGGGATTCTTACCAGGGGTCCCAAGTCGGAGCCAATGTGCAGTCACAGGTAGGAGAAATGCCCCAAAGTAGGGCCTTTCTAGCAGGGTAGGGTTTGGGCTAAAAATTCCACCTTACTCTGGCTCTATTAAATGGTCTGTGCCTCGCTGCAGAGTGGAGGCTGCTTATTTCTGAATGTGACCTGCTCTTACCCCGGCACTGAATTTCACAAATATCAAGGAAAGAGTGATTTTTTTCTGATTGAAATTTTAAGCTTTGTGAATGCATTCGGCTCTGGCTTGAGCTCATGGAATGGGATTGGGTGCGTCTGACTTCCATGGACACTGTAAATCCAGTGAATTTCCTTTCTTTTTTCCTTTTTTTTTTTCCTCCCTTTTTTTCTTTTTTTCCTTTTTAAAAAACCATCTTTCTTTCATTGATTGGACAAACCTTTATTTATTTATTTGCTTATTTAAATGTCAGAACACATCTAACTGAGCTGTTCAAATACAACTCATTCTCAGTCACTTTTCCAGTCCTTTTAGACAGGGCTAACTCCATGTTTTACATGCAGTACATAATCTCTTCCCATACATGCAAGCACATACAGACATATCAATATGCACAGCACTTTGCTGCAGACACTTAAGAAGGACCTACAGGACGCAGAGCTGTGAGGAAGTTGTTGTTTGGCTGGTGTGAGGAGCAAGATGTATGGGTTTTAAGATGCAAGGATTTGTTGAAATTCTGCCAGTCATCCTTGATTGATAAATTTGCCTTTCATAGAAGATGCTAAACCCTTTTGGCTCACATAATTCAAAATGTTGCCTATTGTAAGTGATGATGTTTTAATAGATTTGGAATGATGAATTTTGTTTCCCCTTACTTTAAGGTGGATACCCTGCGTCATGTTATCAATCAGACGGGAGGATACAATGATGGCTTGGGAGGAAATTCACTGTACAGTCCACATAATTTAAATGTGAGTACCCAGGGGAACAATAGTTTGGAGAGCCATAAGCACAGTGTCAGGTAAATGCAGTCATTAATACATGTATTAATTACTCTTGTAATAGTGTTTTTAATACTGCATCTTTGAGGATGAGCCACGGAATAGCCCTTGGTACAGCTGTAAGTCTTGATAACACGAAAAGAGAGAAATTCCTGGAGCTGTGACTATAAGTAATTGGAATTTTTATGATTTTCAGCCTTATGAGTTAAAAAGTAATAGCCTTGGAGAGAAGGCTCCTGTTCTTCACCGTGAGATGGCCAGATAACTCTGTACTCATGTTTGTTATTGCCTGCAATCACACACCAGCACTGTGCTTTTGATACACTTTTAGCTCTTTCAAGGGTGCACGTTTTTCCTGTGTTTGAGAAGCACTTTTGGCCTTGTTACTCCGAATGGGAGAGAGTAGTAAGTGTGGCAAACAGATGCTAGTAAATTGAGGGATTAGGGGCTTGATGGTGATAGGTGCTAAATGTCCTACCTCTCGCTGTAAGCGATGGGATCTGACAGTGCTCAGACCCTCGCAGGCTGGACCCTGTGGCCTGCACACGAGGCGCCAGGATAAATAAAGGCAGAGATCCATTCTTCTGTCGGCATGAAAGCCTGGGATGCAATACCACCCACGGCAGCAGCCTCTGTGGCTGGGGCTCCACGGCGGATCCTCTTCATCCTTCATTTCCAGCTCGTTTCTCTCATTTATAACTTCAACAATTAACGCCTTATGGGGGTTTTTTAATGTTTCATATTTGCCTGAGAGGTGACTTTCATTTGTTTTCCTTCATACTCATGGACTCCAGCGTTACCGCAGAGAATTCCCGTCTAGTGACTGTCACCCCCATGCCAGGGACAGTCCCTGTGTCTCACAACCCGCTGTGGGTTGAGGTGTGGGTGCTGAGCGTCATGGGGAGCCCCCAGACAGGGAAAACGGGGACACCCAGTGTGAGACACTGCAGCCACAGGGAGTGGGAGGTTTTTCCCCCTTTTTGGGTTTCCACTTGCCATAAGAGTAAATATTAATGATTTAAAATGTGATTGAAGATGTTCAATTGTAAAGGGAGAAAAGTACCATTAAATACTCAAATCTTTTACATTTGAAATGTCAAATCTTTCTTTTTGGGTTTATAAATAACTCATAATAACCCACAACAAACCATATAAAAAGCCTTTTAGTTGCATTTCTCCTTTTTCATTTAAGTGTTTTGAAATGCTTCAGAGAATTTGCGATATCCTTATCAACATGATAAAATATGAAACTGTGATTGCCTGCAGCATTTTACAGACATGAATTCCATCTTCACTGATGAGGCCTGATAAGGCGCTGTTGTATAATACAGTGCATAATCTCAAACCACCAGAGTAAGGATTAATTTATTTGAAAAAAAGAATGCTTGCTGACAACCTCTCCTCCAGCTGCCAAGCTGAGTAAAAATATTGTACATTTGTTGTTTATAAATTTGGATAAAAGAGGAATGATGTTTACTTCAGATGGAATATCTTCAGACTCCTATCTGCACAAGAGTTTTTCTTTCTCTAAGTACATTCTCATATCTTTAAAATACAAAAAAGCAATGGTGCCTCTGCATTTGGAGTAGGATTTCGTGCGTTTTCGGTCTGCATCTGCACACTTGAGTGTTTTAAAGCGGGTGGTGAGGTTTCAGCCTTGATGTGATTGCAGGTTGGGTGCTGCTGTTGATTTTACTGAAGAGAAGCCAAACCTTTGCATTTGTCAGGATAAGAGCTCCTCTGTTTGCTGATTTTCATCTGCAAAGGAGATAATTATTGCTGAGCCTTCTTTCTCCTCCTGGTGAAGCCAGGAAGCGGTTTCTTTTGTCATGAGAGACGCACGATGATCTTAAATCCAACCAGGTTGGGTGCGGGGGTTTGAGGGTTGACACCAGGCAGGCGTGAGGTCCCACACGCTGCCATCGCTCCCTCTGCCCCTTGCTCCGGGGAGAGCACAGCGTTCCCACAGCCCACGGATGGGTTTGGTAACGCAGCACGTCATGAAGGCATTAGCATAGGCTAACCTTTCCCTGCCGGGAAGCATCCCTGCCAAGGCCGGGGGCGCCGGCAGCGCGGGGCTCTCGCGGGCTCTGCGGAGAAGCCTCCCCGTCACTTCCACTCAGCGTCCCCCAAGTCACGAGCCCCGCGCCTCCCTCTTCTTGACTGACATAAAAATATGGAGCGACAAGCTGTCTGCCACGGCGGCGATCCGATCAGACGTTGATTTCAGCAATCGCCTCCATCGCCCGAGACAGAAGGCAAATCTGTTCCTGAGCGCTGCTCGCGCTGAGGCAGGGCTGGGGCCGGCGGCGTGCGGAGGCACGGAGCGGCGTGCGGAGCACGGGCTGCGGTTAGAGGTAATTGGAAAGCAGACCCCAGCAGACCTTTGCTGCCTCTTTGTGCACCAGGGTCCGCAGGTGGAGGGCTCTGCTAGGCAGGGAAAGGCAGTTCCTAACTTCGGGAAGCAAGGGGGTTAAACACAGATTGCCCCAGCCTTGTCTTCCCAGGGGAAAAGCTGAAGTGTTGGCTGAAGGCATGTTCGTGGTTAAAGCGTGGATGGTCTTTGCAGGAATCCCAGAGTCCTAATTGCAGCCAACATCTGGCTGAACGGCTGCTGGTCTCTCAGCTTTCCTTCCCGCTGCAGGCTCTGCCTTATCCCTCGCCTAACACCAGCCGCTTTTTCCTTACACAAATCCTGCAGCCAGAGGGAGTGTAGGCAAATCTCCTTCCCAGAGCATCTCCTCCCGAAGCGCGGGCTTGCCAGTGTGATATGTTCAGTGTATGGTGCAATTAATATGCGTAATGGTATCAATTGAATTGTTTTTCCCTTTTCAGGCTAATGGAGGCTGGCAGGACGCAACTACTCCATCTTCTGTGACTTCCCCTACAGAAGGGCCGGGAAGTGTGCACTCTGATACCTCTAACTAATCTCCTAGCAACACTTTTTCCCTGAGCTGAGATGCCTTGATTAGCGCATTCAGAGCCACAGGAGAAAAAGGAAAAGAGTTTTTTTTGTAGCCAACCACCTACAGCTTTACTGTAAAACCTTGTCTTATTAGAAAACTTGGTAAATCTGTTTTTTAAAGGTATCATAATCATTTGTATTTATACTTAAAACACACAATGTTAAAAAGCACTTTATCCAATTAGGCCAAGATTTAGCATTGTTTATAGCCCTGTAACTATTTTATCATAATTTATTATCAGCAGTTTTAACAATGTTGGTCTAACAGTTGCCAATTACTTGGCCTTAAGGGTAAAAGTACAGGACAAGCTTAACCTCAATAGCAAGAGCAGACACAAAGAACCGCCTCACCTAAATTTGACTTTGTGCATATTTCCATGGAAAGTCAGAATGAATTGCAGACTTTGATTGTGTTTCATCTTTTCATATCTCTTATAGAGTTGGAATAAAAAAGCGCTGTTCGGTTATTTCGGTTAACAATGGTTGTGTTTAAGAATCCTTATTCGTCACATTTTTGTTGTGATCTGTTGTCTTACAAATTAGATTGGAAACCAGGAGCATCTTTTCTTGCTAAAACTACCCCGGACCCTGAGTCTCCTCCCTGTGTTTCGACACCGGCCATAGGTTGTTCTTAGGAGATGAAGACACTTGCTGCTGATGTCTGTGAAAGCCAAGACCCGGGGTTTTACAGTACGAGCTAGGTGCTGCACACGCCTGCCAAGACTTGGTACCTCTTCTTGGCAGCACACCGCAAGCAAAGGAAAAAGGCAAAGGAAAAAAAGCACCATCATATGGAGTGTTGTACATAGTGTAGCAAAAGAGTATTTATACATCTCACCAATCAAACACAGCTTTATTACCTCATGCGAACTCATACAAACCAATAGACTTTCAACATGTTCTGTAGCTTAGAGTGCTCACTTACTACCTCTGAACGATACTCACGCTGTAGTTTGTCTCTTTCTTATCTTTTTTGCATCTTGTAATTAACTCTTTGTTTCCCCATGAAATGTAATGTACATTGTAATCTTTTAAAAGAATCAGGGTTGCTTGGGCAACTTTTAAAGAAGCGGAAAGTGGGAACATGGGGGTCTTGGGTTTAACACAAACCAGTGCAACTGTTGTAAATACTGAGAAACATTTTGAATGTTCTTCATCTTGTTACTAATCCACACAGAAAACCAACAACTAATTGTAATGCATACAGACTTCAGTATTCAGTACTGTATATTGCCCCCTGTGTAACAGGGGGCCCTTTCTTTCTCTCTTTTGTATTGTATGCGATTCTGAAACTGATTGAGTCATGAAAATAATTTGTGGCAGTGATTCTAATGTATTAAACCGTTTCGTGTTACTTTCTAACTGGATTACACCCTGGATTGAAAAGTCTTCCTCGTGGTAGTTATATGTAGTTTCAAACATGAATAAACTTTTTGCTTTCATGATCAAATGCTGACGTAGTTTCTTCCTGCTCAGTTGAAGTCAGACCTAGGAGCAAGAATTCAAGTGGAGGTGAAGGAAGGGGTCAGTCCGTTAGATGGGTTTAAAAATCATCATCATATTCCCTCTTGATTACCATCTTTATTTACCATTAACTTTGGAACTACAGCCTCGGCTAGCAAGTATAATGTGATTATAACAATATTTTTCTTTATTAAACAAACTTTTTTGGAAGGACGTATATATATAAATGCTAATTTTAAGTCTTTTTAATGAAGTAAAGGTCAATAACAGGTAATAGCCTATTTACCATATCTCAAGGAAATTGACTCACAGGAAATCAAATTAACGTTAATCACTTGCAGCAAATGGTCTTTGATAAATACAACTACTTACTACTGGGTTAGTGGAGCTAGGCAGGAGGAGGCCAGTGCTCACTACTACCAGCCTGTGTGAGGCTGGAGCCGAGGAGCTGCCGTCCCTTTCCATTGAGCTGCTCGAGCCTTTAGGTGTTGGTTTGGTGGCTGAATGACTATTTGCATGATTCAGTTCACTTGTGGGTCAGCTTTTAGCAGCGATTCTTATATCAGGTTATTGTGTAAAACACCTTGGTTTACCCAGGACCACAGGCACTGTCTTCTCCCTCTGCATCCCTCAGGCACCAGGTACTGCTTCTGACACAACTTCTCCATCAGTCTTAGAATTCGACCTTGCCTCTTTCACTACAGGTGGTGCATTTAAATACATAAGTGAGTAACTAGACATGCACTGCAAAGCCTTCTTTATCTGCTAATGGGAGATGGGGCAGATGGGGACTGTGGACTTCCAAAGACTTCTGTGTGCAGCGGACAAAGCGCCGAGCGATTTGTGTTTGCTGATAGAGCTCCCCAAGCCCATACTCCTGGTGTTTATGCTGCAGCTCAATGGAAACAGTATTTTACATGTAAAGTGTGTCAGTGGAGGCGTAGGGAGCGTAATGAACACACAGACGTCCCTCATCTTGATCACATCTCTGCTGGCCACAGGCAAGGACCTGTCACACACTGAGGAGGTTCATAGGAAGGCCATCAACAACCTTTGGGCCGCACTTGCATGCCCCACGCCCGCTGGGCATCATTAGCTTGCTTCTTTACAGCATTAAGGCTTTGGGTCCCTTTGAATTACAAGTGCAATTTGGCTTTTCCTTACATTGGAGAGCAGCCACGTGGTTACATGGCAAATAATAAACATCCTGTCCTTGAGGCTTGATCACACATCAGAAGGGGTTACTGCAAGCACCAGTATTAGGATCATGCTGCTGATGGCTCTGTGCTTCACCCAGCAGCTGCACCCCGAGGGGCCATCGGAGCCTTGTGCAGGAACAGGGACTTGTGCAAGGATCCCTGCTCGTCGCACGCACCCTGGGAAGGGATCTCTGCACCACCATGTTCCCATCCTCATCCCTCCTGCCCCAGCACTGCTCAGTGGTGCCGTCCTGATTCCCTGCACCCGGATTTGAGCTGTTGGTGCATGTGAGGACTGCAGTGGCATGGGAGCAAAGCTACCAGCCCTATGGCTGTGGCTCCCACCAGCCTTGGGAGGTGCCAGCCCAGAGACCCTGCACAGAGCACAGCGGGAAGAGCCAGGGATGCACAGCGGGAATCGCTGCATCCCATGCATGGCACTGTCGTGATGAAGGCCATCGCTGCTGTGACAGGCACCAGGATGTCCGAAGGAGAGACCCACGGTGCTCCCCACGTCACAGCTTGAACAGCCGCTCCGTTGGACCTGCTGTGCCCGAAACACTGTGGCATGGACACTGCGGGAGGGGTGGTGAGAAGCCCCATAGCCAGAAGCACCCTGCAGCCTCAAACCTTCCTGTGCCAAAAGCGAAGCAGGTGATGGTCTCCTCTCCCAGGCATTCAGACACCAGTACCTTGCCTTGGATGCAACGAGGATCCTCAGCCCGGGAAGTGAAGAGTCAGGGAGACTGCGGCATTCCAGCATGGGAAAATCCATGCCCCACAGGACTGGTCCAACAAGAGCAGCTCTGCTGAAGATGGAACTCAGTGCTAACTGTAGCAATGTCTTTTGCAAAGACCACGTGCGAGTGGGATGTAAGAAAGATGCTGATGCCGATATCTGTGCCGTGTATTTCCAATGTGATGAAAATAACTCCGAGTAACTGAAGATGTTTCCAGTTTGTGTTAATAAAATACATCTTTCTAAAGAATGGAATTCTTCAAAGATTGGCAAATTTTATTTTATTTCATTAGCTTTAATGTCACTGCCATATGGACTGTGAAGAAAAGTGAACCATTAGATCAGAGGGACTGAGTTATCAGCATGACACAGAAAGCACTGATACAATTGTTAAGGATAAGCCCTGGGAGTGATTTATTGCATGCATTGTATTAGCCACAGAGGAGTTATGATATGCTCCCCATTTCTGTATCATATTAGGATTTTATTAGTCTAATATGACACGGTAATATAATATACGATTAGAATTCCCATCCAGTTATCCTTCCCTTGGTGGCAGAGCAGGGGAAGGTTGTGTGCGCAGCATCTCCCCAGCCATCGCACCCACGGGTGCAGAGGGGATGACAGGGATGCCTGGGATGCTAAACTGGTCTCCTGGGCTTTCCAGGTGGGATGTGGGTGCTGTGGGCATCCTGGGCACTGAATTTGTTTTCCCCATGCTTCCTGCAATGGGTGACAGCGGGCAGGGTGGTGCGGGCACTAAAATCTTTGCTGAAAGACAAGCTGTGTCCTAAAGTACCTACCTGTGCATAGACCAGGCTAATGGGAGCCAGTAGGACTGAGCCTGTAGGATAAGCGTGGGAGGCTTGGTGGCATGAAAGGGCAGGTGACAGGCTCCTGCTGCCCTTGCTGAGGCCACACGAGTGAGCACGCAGTGTTCAGCACACCCCAAAAGGTGCTGCCATATCTCCACGTGCGCAGTGCTCCTGAGGGCAGCGGAGCAGCACCCGGCTCACGGGGTGGAAGCCCTGGTGCTGGGGCTGTCCCTCACACGCTCACCCTGTGCTATCCTGATGGACACATGCGGTGTTGGCCAGCAAAGGGACATTCAGCAGCGCTGGGATGGCAGCTCCAGCTGAACAAGGACACACAGCTCCAAGCCCTCATGGGCTTGCAGGGTTCCAGCTCTCCCCTTGGCCATCCTCTGCTCTCCTGCAGGTTGGATGCAGGCACCGGATGCCCCAGCATCAGAGGTGAAGCCAGAGACTGGCTTCTCTTATCCCAAGTTACAAGTGACAGGGTGAGGAAACTGCCTCAAGCTGCACCAGGGCAGGTTTAGATGGAGCTGAGGAGCAATTCCTGCCCCAAAGGGTGCTCAGGCATTGGAACAGGCTGCCCAGGGCAGGGCTGCAGTCACCGTCCCTGCAAGTGCTCACACACCGTGGAGCCGAGGCATCGGTGCCATGGGTCAGTGGTGGCCTTGGCAGTGCTGGGAATGGTTGGACTGGGTGAGCTTAAAGGGCTTTTCCAGCCTGTTTGCGTCTGTGATTCTCTGATGCTGTGACGGTGCTGCCAGTTCGGCTCAGCCTCCGGCTGCAGGATGTGCTGACGTGACACGCTAATTGCAGTGCCTCGTTACAGGATCCCGCTTGCCCCCACATCTCTCCTGGCGTGACCCTCACGGAAACTCGACTTTCCCAACAAGACAAACTTCTCTTCAAAGTTTCGCTGGCATCCCCCATCCGCCTGTGGCCAGATCCCCGCGTTCCGCCTGGGAGCAGGCTCGGGAGCAGACGCCGTTTGTAGCTGCATTCTTGCCTCCAGCAGCAGCAGCAGGAGAAAAGAGAAGTTCAAGCATATCATAGTGCTACTAGGTGATAAATCCCCAAATCTATATCAAAGCCTATTTGATCATCTTCCTGTCATTGATATAATAAAAAGGATTAATTTATTGGAGACTGCCAAAATCCTCAAGTGGCAACAAATTTAAGGATCTTGTTTACATAGGCTAATTAAAACCAATTACGTTCATTCATATCTGCGGCTACTAACGTGGATGCTTCTTCATGTAGGGATGCTGGAGGTGCCTATATGGCAGCATGGCCATGCCCTATGAGCCCCTTTCCTGAGTGGTGGGTCCCCTTGGGAAGGTGGTGGGTACCCACTGACGTCCCCTCGCCCTTTGCTTTGGGAGAGCAAACGGGGCTGTTGCTCATGACAGGAGGTCACCTACAAGCGCTCTCCATGCGAGCAATAAAAGGCTGCGTCTTTTGGTGGCAAAATTCAGCATCAAGAGCACGCGTCATTAAATATGGAAATGCAGAATTTTATTAGCAATCTGCTAGATCTGAACTGACGCCAATTAAACAAAAAAGATATCATTTGTAAAAAAAGGCAGAGTTCAAGTTGTATTAAATATGAAATGCAATTTTCTGCTCGTTGTGATTTATTACCGTTGGTACATTGTTCAAAGAAGCATGTTATATTTCAATAGAGAAATACTGTTTATTCATTAATATTTTAAAACTTGCTTATTGCTGGGTATGACTCTCCTGCAGAATGAAACTTGTGATTTAAAACATGAATTAATAAACACATTTGAAAGTGTTAGACAATATCATAACCGCTCATTTTTCATTTTACTGGGAGCGTATTAAACTTTTATAATTCTGTGTGTACTATTATTTTCCAAATAAAGGTATGGGCTCTAAATTACTAATTTCAGGTAAAGATGAGAGAAAGCAATAACATATGTTGGGAATCAGTCACTGTGTCGTGCTAATACGGGCTCAGTACTTGTGTTGTTGCATTAGTCATAGATCTTCTGCTCAGTGCCACATCCCCTTAACAGGGTTCCAGGGTGCTCCAAGTGCTCCTCCATCAGTAGATGAAGGGTTCCAGGTACACCGGCACCATGGGAATGTGTCATGCTCCTAATGCAAGGAAACGTTTGATAGAGGCTGACATCCTAAATGAGGCCGAAAATATTTGATACAAAACGTGATAAAGCAATAATGATCTCGGAGGCCTTGGGTTATCTTGGTTATT